CGTCCTGCAGCTTAGGTGTCAGAGCAGGGACTGCGCGCCAGACCTGGCGTCGAGGGTTTAGGGTTTAGGGTCTGGGGTTTAGGGTCTAGGGTTTATGGTCTAGGGTTTAGGGTTTAGGGTTTAGGGAGATGGGATCCTTTCCTGCACAAGACACGCAGCGGGCAGTTCCCCACGCTTGGCACTTTGTGCTGCCCCCAAACCCCCACAGCGGAGCTGCTGCTGCTGCTGCTGCTGCTGGTCAGCAGCAGCAGCAGCAGGGCGCCTGCTTACTGTTGCAGCAGCAGCAGCAGCAGCAGAAACACAGGGTGCAGCTGCAGTCTGCTGCTGGCCTTCAAACAGCCTTAATGAAGTCCCCGTGCCCTCTGCCAGGCTATGAACAGCAGCAGTTATTGCAGCAGCAGCAGCAGCAGCAGCAGCAGCAGCAGCAGCAGCTGCAGCAGCAGCTGCAGCAGCAGCTGCAGCAGGGATATCCCATTCCGTGTCCGTCTCCGCCCACATTTGAAGTACCTCAAGCCGAAAGCACCATGAGCAGCACAGCAGCAATTGCACCAGCAGCAGCAGCAGCAATACCTCCAGCGGGAGCAGCAGCAGGAACGCCTGCTGCAGCAACAATACATGCAGCAGCAGCAGTGCCTGCAGCAGCAGCAACAGCACCTGGCCAGAAGCGGCGGCTGCAGCCCCTGCCCCTCCAGGCCTACAGACAGCAGCATCTGCTGCAGCAGCAAGCATTGCAGCAACAGCAGACACTGCAGCAGCAACATACACTGCACCAGCAGCAGCAGCAAATGCAACAGCAGCAAATACAGCAGCAGACGTTGCAGCAGCAGCAGCAGCAAATGCTGCAGCAGCAGCACAAGTGGCCCCTTCAGACTTTGCTGCAGTCCAGCTGCCTCTGGTGGAACGTTTCTCCTGCTTCTGCTGCAGCAGGAGAGAGCAACAAAAGCAGCAGCAGCAACAGCAGCAGCAGCAGCAGACAGGCAAGCTCAACAGCCGCTAGAAGCAGCCGCTGGGGCTGCAGCAGAAGCAGTAGCAGCAGCAGCAGCATTTCAGTGAGGCCTTGTGCTGCTACTGAACCCCCTGGTGCTGCAGCAGCAGCAGTAGCAGCAGCTGCTGCTGCTGCTGCTCCGCAGGGGCAGTCGGAGACCGGCATGAGCTGCGCCGTTGCTGCTGCTGGCAAGGTCAAAGCACCCCCGCCCGCAGCAGCAGCAGCAACAGCAGCAGCGGGAGAAGCAGCAGAGGGCTCAGGCGGAGCCGCAGCAGCAACAGCAGCAGCAGCAGCAGCAACAGCAGCAGCAGCAGCAGCAGAAGGCAGGGTGTCTGTCTGGGAACTCATAGAGCGCTGGGCGGGGGACAGCGATGATGAGGAATTTGTGTTATGCCCAAAGGCCCCCAAGGGGCCCCACAGCAGCAGCAGCAGCAGCAGCAGCACGCGCAGCAGCAGACACAGGACGCGCAAGGAGCAGCAGCAGCAGCAACAGCAAGACGCCACGACGGAGGAAATGGACAAATTATCTGAAGTGCTCTGCAGCAGCGACGAAACACTAGCAGCAGATAGCAGCAGCTGCAGCAGCTGCAGCAACTGCAGCAGCAACTGCAGCAGCTGGTGCCGGAGGAGC